AACTCAAAATATCCTATTGTATTAGTTTGTTTCTATGTGTCTCTCCCACCAGAGGTCAAGATCTTGTCCCCAGTGTTTACCTGACATACAGTTGGCATGTCTGCTGAATAAAGCTGTTCAGGTTTCAGAACTCTGGGAGATTTGGGGTCTCAAGAACAAGTTCAGGTGTTTGGGTTTTCCTGGGAAGGGCAGGCCCTCTCTGGTATTGGCATGTAATCTCTTTTCTGATGGAAATTCTGTGTGATGACCTTTCTAATGAGCCCAGTGTTGAAATGTGAACCTTTCCTTCTTCGTATTAGAATAGGCACTATATATTTACAGACCCTGAGAGTAGACTCCAACCCTGAGTCCACACCTTGTGGAAAGCAAGAAAAGAACAGGCCTTGAACAGTCAAAGTTGTTTATCTGCTATGAGGCTCCCGGAGGCCCAGAGAAAGAGGCCAGAATTTGATGAATCTGCACTGCTGTTTGGGCCCTGCTGGCTCCAGTAGGAATGTGTCCCTGGACTTCCTAGCACACAGAAAATGTCTCTGTCTTCTGGAGGAACGCAGCCCCTTGCTTCAATCCAGCATTCTTGGTTTCACGCTTGGGCTGAACCTAAGGCAGAGGAGGAATTGATGGAACCACCCAAAGCAAGATGTGGCCAGGACCCTGCCCCAAGAACCGCCTGCTCTGAACAAGGCCCCGGACTCCTGGCTCACCCTAGTAGCTGGCATTTCTGCCTTCAGATTCAGAGTCTGGGGTGGGGGCTTCTGATTAGGTCCAGCATCCTTACTCTAGCAGGGCTTGAGGAGAGGGTGTGTCTACCCCATCCATCTGGCGTAGTGGGAGAGGGAGCTGCCTCTTCCTGCTTCTTGGGATTCCCACAAACAGGGGCTCAGATGTTGGGCAGCCCAAGTGATAAATTCCAGCTTTCCCTCCACTCCACGAAGTCCATGTTCTCTTCCAGTACCCTTCAGAAGGGCTCCGGCTTCTGGTCCCAGCCATTTTAACTACATGTACCTAGGTGCTAGGAGACGGGAGCCAACAAAGAAAATTAGAGATTACATTCTTTTGGGGAAGAGATTGATAATAAATAAGTGAACAAAAAAGATGATTATAGATGTGGTAATGCTGTCAAAGAAATGGGTAGGGAGCTGTGAGAGAAAGTAAGGGAAGTCTCCTTAGAGAGTTTCTCTAACCTATACCCCCAAACTTAGTGGCTTACAGTGCTTTTATTTAGCTTGTGATTCTGTGGGTCAGGGATTCAGGGAAGACTGGGCTGGGGGGTTCATCTCTGCTCCATGTGGTGTTAGCTGAGGTGCCTGGGGCTGGAGATTCCACTTTCAAGATGGTTTATTGTTTGCCCCAAGTTTTGTATTGAAAAATTTCAAATATACCAAAAAAAAAATAGACTTGTACAGCAAACACTATACCTACCACCCAGATTCGACACTTAACAGTATACCGTCTTTATCAACACTCCTGTGCAAGATGTCATTTTCACACCTGGGTCACGTGGCTTTGGCTTCTCACCACTTGGTGATCCCAGGCTAGTCGCACTTCTTCCATGGTGGCTGACTTCCCAGCCAGTTAACTGCCATGCCTGGAGGTTAACACAGTGTCTCTTCCATGGGATGCTATTGGTCAAAGCAGGCATGGGGCGGAAGAGTCATCTCTTCCGCCCCATGTGGGATGGAGCCATCTTTAGAAAAAAAGATCAGCCAGAAATGGTGATCAGGGAAGCCCTCTTGGAAAAGGTGGTATTTGGGCTGAGTCCTGAGAGAGGAGAACAGACTTTCCTGTGAAGATCCAGCAGAGAAGAGCATTCCGGGCAAGAGACTGACAAAGGTAAAAAAAGGCTCAGAGGTGGAAAAACAAATCTTTCTACTCTACTTTCCTTTCCCATACCCAAATCCAAACCATCATCTGGAAACCACACAAGCCACCTCCCCTACTGAAGCCTTCCCAGATAGCTCAGTCCTTGCTGACCTTTCCCTTTTCTTAGAGCACTCATGCCTGGAGTGCTCACCTGGCTTGCCAAGGTTGGCTGCATAGTCAATGGTCACATACACAGTCTCTGTGAGGCCTTGGGGAACTGGCCTACCTTCTCCAGCCCTAGCCTTCTTCACCTGTAACTGGGAACAATAACACCTACCACATAGGAAGGGGGGCAACTATTAACATACGTAAAGTGTTTGGCATCTAGTGAATATTTGATAAATGGTAATTATAATTAATAATTACAAACTGATTCACCTCATCACATGCTAGTCTAGTTTAGAATTTTTTTTGGAGCAGAGACCATGCCTTTTTCAACTTTTTCTCTTTCACACTGCAAGCACTGTGCCTCACATACACATTATGCGCAGGAACAAGCACACCACAGAGCTCTTCATTGTGCTGTGGTGCTAATGGAGCCATGCAGGGCAGCGAGATGAGCGAGATGAGCGAGACTCAGCTGGAACCTTTCAGATGATTCCAGAGAAAGAGAAAGTAGCTGTGCCTGCAGCAGCCACACTGAGTACCTTTTACATTTGGATACAGAATAACAGTTTTCAAAGCACTTGCATACCTGTATTAGTTTGCTAGGGCCACGGTAACACAAACTAGGTAGCTTACAGCACAGATATTTTCTCACAGTTCTGGAGGCGGGGAGCCTGAAATGAAGGTGTCTGTCAGCACCTTCTGAGGACTGCGAGGAAGAATCTGTCCCATGGCTTTCCTCAATTTTTGGTGTTCCTTTGGTGTTTGGTTTTTAGAAGCATCACCCTGACCTCTGTCTTCATCTTCATATATCATTCTCTCTATTTGTGCACGTGTGATCAAATTTCCTTCTTTAACAAGGACACCAAGCATATTGGATTAAGGCCCACCCCAATGACCTCATTTTCACTTGATTGCCTCTGTAACGACCCTGTCTCTACATGATCACATTCTGAGGTAGTGTGGTTGGGACTCCAACTTATCCTTTTTTGGGGGGGGGGGCACAGTTCAACACATAAAACATCTCTGTCTCCTATGACCTTTCTCATCCACACCCCACAGTGAACCCCTTCAGGGCAAGTATCAAGTCTTGTCCTAAATATCTGTACCTTTCAGCCCTCAGCTTTTCCTTGCTTCCTATGCTCCAAGCTTTTTCACCTCCCATGATGCTGTTTCTTCTCTTTGCCTGGCAAATTCCTACTCGTTCTTCATTTCTTAGTGTAAATGTTACCCCCACAGAGAGGCCTTCCCTCATCATCCTCTCCTGATCGTATCTCCCATGTTATTATCATAGTTTCTTCTTCTTTCTTCCCAATACATCTCACAGTTCATTAGTATATATTTCTGTGTGATTGATTAATGGAGCTGTCAGACATTAACCCCTGGTCTGTAAGTGCTGTGAGGGTAAGGACCCAACCACTCATCATTGTCTTCTTAGTTCCATAGCACCTGATCCAGAGTAGAAACTCCATAAGTATTTGTTGAATGGAAGAATGAATAATACATCTTTGGATCCTTCATCCCACTTCAAATAGTATGAGAATAGTGTATGTTGAGTGAATTATAATTATTTATCTCTATATCCTCCAAGAGAGAGTAAGCTCTTTGAGGGTAAGATTAAGTCTTACTCTTTTTTGAATTGCCACCGTCCAACCCCTCCTTATTGATCTTGTACTTGTTATCTATGCTTCATAACAAAGTACTCTGAAATTTAGGAGCATAAAATAGTAGCATTTGTTACTTCACAGTTTCTGTGGGTCAGAAATTCAAAAGTGACTTTGTTGAGTGTTTCTGGCTCAAGGTCTCTCACGAGCTCATATTTATGGTTTTGGCAAGGGCTGCAGTTGTGTAAAGGCTTGACTGGGGCTGGAGGATCCACTCCCAACGGGGTGCACACGCACAGCAAGTTGGAGTTGGTTGCTTGCAGGAGTTGGCTGCTTCACTTATTACCCTTGGGAGCCTCCCTGTATGGCTGATTGTCCTTACAACGTGATTCCCCATGAGTGATCAAAAGAGAGCAAAGAGGAAAAGCAATGAATTTAATGTCTTGATGTTGGAATTCATGCTCCATGATTTCCACAATATCCTATTGGTTCTACTGGTCTGTCCTATTCGGTGTGGGAGGGGACTACACTGGGGCATGGATACCAGGAGTCATGAATCATGGGGGTCCACCATGGAGACTGGTTACCGCACTCTTAACTAGATCTCCTTTCCCTCTACTTGCCTACCCATACTGAGTCACGGAATCCTGTTTTTTGCCTTTCAAATACTTATCACATCATATAATTACATGTTCATTTAATTATTTTTGTCTATCTCCCTCCACCAGAACGCCAGTTCCATGAGAGCAGACTGCCCCTGTTTGGTTCAGCTCTGTAGCCCCAGCAACCAGCACGAGGAAGAGTATATGCCTGGTGAATGCTTTGAATGGATCCTAGTAATTTGCGTCTGTTAAAACTATAAGAATGTGCTCTTCTATCTTCCCTCTGTATTGTAGGCTCCTAGCTCAGGGGTTGGCATGGAATTAAGCCTTTTTTAAAATAAACATCTAAAAATGTTTACTGAAACGGGCCGAGGGGTAGCTTTCGAGAGGCCTGGAGGGGGGGTCTCTGTCTTGCTTTCCCAGGTCTCTCTGCCTCAAACCCACAACGCAGGGACCGAAGTACAACAAACCACCAACCTTAGCAACGCGGGCGGAGCTGAGCCTGCTGGTCGCTGAGGCACGTCACTTCCGGGATCCGTGGTCTCGGAGAACCACTTCCGGGGGAGCGGCGCGCGGCAGTGCGGGTGGTGAGTGCGACGGTGCTGGCTGCCGTGCCGGGGCTTCGGGGCGGGGCGGAGTGGCAAAGGCGGCGGGCGTGGAGGGGGGTTTGGGCTGGGGCTCCGCGGCCGGGCTGTCCCCGAAGGCTCTGCTCCGCTTGCCTCAGCTGTTCGCCGCGCGGCCAGAATAACTTCCCTAGGACTCGTTAGGAAGTTACTTGCAGACGGGAATTTGGGTTCTTGGGAGGCGGAAGGCCTCTCCCGGTGCCGTCCAGTGTTTTAGTTCAGAGTCGGGGCCGAACCCAGCGCTCCTGATGGCCATGACCCGGCCTTTCCTCTGCCGAATGGATTATTAGAAGGAGCCAGACCTCCGGTTCCGAGGCCTGGGTGCGCTCTGTAGTTCTCTGTAACCGTGGGCGATCTCTGGTTTCCTCTCTGGTTTTCAGTTTCCTCCTCTGCACCGGGAACGTAGGCTTGACCTGGGGATTAAATGAGGTGGTGAATGCAGAGCAGTTGGTAAGGGTGCACGGTGCGTGTTTGTTGGGCGAATTCTTTTCAGAACAAGTGGGAAACGAATATGTGAATCTCAATACTTTTTAAATAGTGGTAACATTCAGATTTATTACATTTTGCAGGACATCTGCACACGAGTTTCGGCCCACTGGCTGCCAGTTCTGACTGCACTGGGAGATGGCTTAGCTTTCCATAGGGCAAAAACTTTAACCCACTTTTGAGCAGTTCTTTGGAATTTGTTGTAGTGGGATGGGTCTGGGTATACACAGTCCTTTGCTATACGACAGTGACTAAAGCATGACGCTGGTTTTCAATCCCCTAGTCTGCTTCAGTTGAATTTTCAGAGCAAAATTTTAAAGTCACTTCATTAGAAGCCAAGAATCCCCTACCAATATATACTTGGAATCTTGGTTTTTCTGTCTTAAAGACTTTATTTCTACTGGCTAAGTCTGGAGAGCTATAAATGTCTCGGAGGTTATTTATTTTGAAATGTTGGCTTTTTCAATAAAGTTGTTTTAGGACAATTTTAGACTTACATAATTATTGTGAAGATACTACAGTGAGTTCTCAGATGCCCGGCACCCAGTTTCCTGCTATTAACATCTTACATTAGTACATTTTTCACAATTAACAAACCAATATTGGTAAGTTATCATTAACTAAAGTCTATGCTTTATTCAGATTTGCTAAGTTTTCCCCTAAGGTCCTTTTTCTATTCCAGGATCCCATCCAGTATGTCACATTACATTACTCCTCTTGGCTATGATAGTTTCTCAGACTTGACTTGTTTTAGATGAACTTGACAATTTTGATTATTACCAGTCAGATGTTTTATAAAATGACCCTCAACTGGGATTTGTCTGATGTTTTTCTCATGATTAGATTGGAGGTACCAGTTAATGGGGAGGAAGACCACAGAAGTTCAAGTGACATTCTCATCACATCAAGGGCACATGCTACCAGAAATAAGTTATCACTGCTGATGTTAATCTGGGTCACTAGCTTGTCAAGTTCTTCTGCTGTTGTTATTCCCTTTCATTTGGCTCCTATATCTCTTTGACATACCCTTTTGTTCTTACTTTTCTGCTCCAGGCTTATCCTGTATACTTTCTGTTTCACTCCTCAAGTTAGTCATTTCTCCAAGGAGTGCTGGTTCCTTTTATTGGAGAATGGTATTAGATACCAAGATCTGGGTGCTAGGTGTTCTCATTGCTATTGGAATGCTCATGCTTCTAGTCTGTCTCGACGGACACAGTAAAAAATATGTGTGTGTTTCTAACCTGTATGTATACACATACCTATAAATATTTCTATATGTAGCTACCTATGTCTATTTTAAGCTAAACATGAGTTAGTTCATACTGATGTCTGCAACTCTTACCCATCCCGTGTGGATAGTCCAGCCTCTGGCTTATCTGTAACCTCCCACTACAATTCTGACAAACCTAACTTTCACCATCTCCCATTCATTTACTTAATTGTTCAATTTCAGTATCCATGTATAATGGCTATTGAATTGTTAACCTGTATCCCCTGTGCGAATAGCTTAATCAGCTAGAGTGCAGTGCACATAGTTCGTTTTGCCTTTAGTCTTACAGACTGTTCATTTCTAAAGTTATTGAGGTCAATACCTGATTCTCCCTACCCCTTCAGTTGAAGTTGTTTAATACCTTTGTATGCATTTTCAGAATGTCACATTCTGCATTCCATCCTGAGATACCCTGACCTCCTAAATGATTTTTTAAAAATATTTGCACTCAGCCTTGGCTAGTGTGGTTGAATGGATTGAGTGTCAGCCTGCAAACCAAAAGGTCATGTGTTCAATTGCCAGTCAGGGCAATACTTGGGTTGCAGGCCAGGTCCCCAGTTGGGACCGTGTAAGAGGCAACTGATCAATTTTTCTCTTCCTCTCTTCCTTTCCCCTCTAAAAATAAATAAAATCTTTTAAAAAAAATTTGCACTCATTAAAGTTTATTGTTTGTGCTGTGAAGTTCTATGGGTTTTGACAAATGTTTAATGTCCTGTTTTCACCATTACAGTATCGTACAAAATATTTTCCCCTTCAGGGATTATTTATAACTTCTCAGAGGTCCTGTTGACTCTCTCTTCAAATTATATCTATAACTTGAGAATTTACCACCTCCCCTGCTACATCCCTGGTGCAAGTATGACTCTTTGACTATTAGAGTAACCTCCTTACTAGTCTCCCTGTTCCCCTACACACACACGTCTCTTCTCAACACACAGCCAGAGGGACCATGTTTTCTTTTTTTTTCCAGGAATTAATAGTCAGTTTTATTGGGCTCAGACTAGGAGTCCATGAGTCTTGAGGACCCCTATGTATCTGTCAGTTTTCTTTCCCACATTCTTTGCGGCTTGTTTCCATCGCCTCATGAGCTCCTGTTTCTTCCACTAATGGATCTTGGCCTTCTTCCTCTTGTCCTCCAGAGTGGCTATGATGGTCCGGTACTTCAAGCCAACCTCCTGAGCCAGGCTGCCCTAGGGAGGCAGACTTCCGTGTAGGCTTCAGACACACAACCTTGAGGGCCACGGGAACCACCATTCGTTTTTTCTTGTCATGGGGCTTTGGGATCCCATCAAATACCTTGAGGTGGTCTGAGGCGGTCCAAAGTGGCCTAGCCTTGCTTGGTTCTGAGGGGCGATGTGCTTTGCACCGTCTGCCAAAGGACACGGCTCGGAAGTAATAAGGGCTGTAGGATGGCTTGATGTTCATCTGCTTGCAGAGGAAGAGCAGGTACTTCAACTTGTTTCTGTAGAAATTGCCAGAAATGTTGATGCCTTCACAGCGCACAACCACATCTTCCTGCTAGGCTATCATGGCTGCCAGGTGGCCCAAGAGATGGCCTTGGCCACCAAGCACCAGAACCTGATCCCTCTGCCATCTTTGGCAGCCGCCTGGGAAAGCCAGAGAGACCACTTGAGGATGAGTCAGACCATGCCACCGCCGCTGCCATCACCACCACCATCATCATCATCAACATCATTGCTAAGAATCTTCCAGTGGCTCCCCTTTTACTCAGAGGAAAAGCCAAGGTCCTTAAAATGGCCTGTTGACCCTGCAGTTTGCTTATTCTACTGTTCTGGGTTTTTTAAAAAATAAAGATTTTTTTTACTTATTTTTAGAGATAGGGGAAGGGAGGGAGAAAAAGGGAGAGAAACATTGTTATGTGATAAATACATTGGCCACCTCCTGCATGCCCCCAACCGGGGACCTGGCCTGGAGCACTCAGGCATGTGCTCTGAGCTGGGATCGAACCTGTGACATTTTGGTTCACAGGCTGGCACTCAATCCACTGAGCCACACCAGCCAGGGCTACTGCTCTTGATCATAAAGTTCATTGCTGCCTCAGGACCTTATTTCCCTTCCCTTGCTTTTCCTTCATCCTGAGGTGCCATAACAGATATTATAATGACTTGTTCTTTTGCTCCCTTCCTGCTTCTGCTGAAATGTCACCTCAGAGAGTCCCTTCCCTGACCACCCCTATGAAATAGCACCTCTTTCTTTCTTATGTTTTGTTGTAATACCCCTGACATTACATTATTTGTGTATATGTGTGAGTGCCACTAATTGGATGAAAACTGGCGGGACCTGGAATAATACTCAGCACATAGTAGGTATTCAATAAATATTTGTCAATGAATGAATGCTTCTGACCACTAGTGTCTGGCATGTAGGGATGAACCTCAAGGGGTCTAGTAACCTTATGAAATTATTGGCCATGTTTGGAAATAAATGGGTGTGTACTTTTCATGAAATCCTGGGAGGGGTATGAAATTTCCCCTTCGCTCTCAAGCAGGGGTGAGCATCACAGGGCTGGGGACATTGCCACATAGTCAGCTCTGCCCTGACTCACGGGGAAAGCCTGTGGCTTTCGGCTCCTCATTGTCAAGTGAGGCAGTGGTAGAGGCAGATGCTCCTGCTTTAAAGGTGAAAACCAGGCAGAGGTTTCAATATTTGAGGACTGACTCAAATATTGCTAAATATTTGAGTCAGTCCCTGGAATAAACTCTAGATGGTCCCTGGGTTCTTGTGCCTGGTAGAGGCAGATGCTCCTGCTTTAAAGGTGAAAACCAGGCAGAGGTTTCAATATTTGAGGACTGACTCAAATATTTAGCAATATTTGACTCTAGATGGTCCCTGGGTTCTTGTTGTCCAGGAGCTTATAGTGGAACAAGTGAAATACATTAGACTCAGTGCAGTATTTCTCAAAACAATAAGAAGTGCCATTTGAATTTTGACCCCGAATATCCATACTTGGATATGGGTGGATATGACTGAAAAAAGCTTCAGGACACAATACTCACCTTTACTAAGGTGATACTTTGTATTGTCATTTATTTAAAGTGCTGGCTAATACAGTTAAGTGCTGATTACAGCTTTGGAAATGGTTTCCATGGATCACTAATGGGCCCCAGCCTGCAGTTTGAAAACCATTGCCCTGGCTGGTGTGGCTCAGTGGACTGAGTGCTGGTTCGATTCCCAGTCAGGGCACATGCCTGAGTTGCAGGCTGGGTTCCCAGTTAGGGGTATGTGAGAGGTAACGGACTGATTTCTCTCTCGCACATTGCCCATTGATGTTTCTCTCCCTCTCTTTCTCCTTCCTTTCCCCTCTAAATAAATAAATAAATAAATAAATAAATAAATAAAAAAAAAAGAAACCATTGGACTTAGTGGGTAAGGACTCAGGGTCTGGAGAAGTCAGCCAGTTTGAATTCTGACTTTGCCACTTCTTGGCCAAGTAATCCCTGGCCGGGCCCTGTAATCTCTCCAAGGCCTGGTTTCCTCATCCTCATTAGTAATACCTGCCTCCCGACCTGGCTGTGAAGTGAATGAGATGAGTGTGTGTGCACTT